GATTCCAGCTTTCTGGCTCCTGATGTGGGTTTGTGGTTTTCAACTGCCTGCAGTTTAAATAGAAAAGACTAGAAGGCCTTCGTGGATTGGAAAAGAGAGTAGTTACGCGTCATGTAGTTCAGAACTTTGACCAGTGGGTGTCTCTGCAGACAAGGGAGAGGGTTCCTCTCCACCTTAGAGGTGGAAGACGGATTTTCTAGTTTGAGGAAAACTGTGGAGGAAATGAAGCAAACAAAGGTAGGTCAGTTACCTACAGAAATCCATCCCAATAGTATACTTTTTTCTTAACCAACAGGTGGAAAGGCTGGTAGAAAACCTAAGCGAACACCAGTCTTAATGCAAGGCTGCTGCTGTACAAGCAGAGTCTCCACTGTCTTCCAAAAGACGCAAGGCGGTTTGAAGGGGAGCACTTAAAACCGAGAGGCAGTTCCCAAGGCAGGTGTGGCAGAGAAGATGGCTCTTTAGTCAGGAGAGATGTGAAGATGAAGGGAAAAGAGGAAAGATGCAGTTCTGTAGGTTTAAAGATTTTATTTATTTTATTTTTTCCCCCCAAAGCCCCAGTGGATAGTTGTGTGTCGTAGCTGCACATCCTTCTAGTTGCTGCATGTGGGACTCGGCCCCAGGATGAACGGAGAAGTGGTGCCTCGATATGCACCCGGGATCCGAACCCGGGCCACCAGCATCGCAGTGCGCGCACTTAACCACCAAGCCACAGGGCCGGCCAGTTCTGTAGGTTTAGAACCAGGGAAATCAAGAACTTCCCTCTGAGGTGGACCTCTGAAGTTTAACTCCCCTTAAGGAGCATACACTTTTGTGAAAAAAGTTGTCCTGGATGAATTTTTTTCCTCTACTAAATGTATTTTCCCATTGATTGTCCTTATAAAACCAAAAGTGTATTTACCTGAGGAAAATATTGATTCCAAATGATAATATAGTCACATCTAAGAATGCAGAAAACCTTTAAAAAAATCATACTTAAAGATCTTTTTGGATGATTTAAAGGGTAATTATTTAATAATAATCTAAAAATGCTTAAACCATATCCTAGAACATATGCAAAGTCGTAAGGGTAATTTTTATGTTTTGTGTAGTAGCTTGAATGGTTCCATTAAGAAGAAAACTGTGGACAAGCTCAAAAGAAAATCCCCAACTGAAAGCCTATTTAGCTTCTCTTAAGCCCCTTCCCTGAGATATTTTATAGCAGGAGACTGTGTACTTACCCCGGCTGCTCAGACCTGTGTCTGGAGACCCAGGGAAGCACTGGGACATGACTAGGTTCATCTGGGATAGGAGGAGGAAAGACAACAGGCACACAGCTAGGGTGGAAATGCAGAAGGCAGCCCTAACAAACAGAAGGCGCCCATTCAGCTCACACGGAGAACCAGGGCGCTGAGTGCTCTGACAATGTGTATCCAACAGGGCCCTGATTTCTATGTGATGGCAGAATTTATAACCGGCTAATAATTTCCTTGTTGGGGAATATGTGACCTGTAAATATTCTATGATGTTGCCTTTTGGCATACAGAATTTGTAAACAATACTTCCGTGTCAACTGAATGCCCGTATAATGCTAGCCTCTTGCAGAGCAGTAACGAGTTGGGCCAATGTAAAGTGAGGGGCTGAACTTTCTCCAAGGTCCCAATGGCTCTGAGAATTTGTGGGGCTACATCGTGAGGCTGTTTTATTTCGGGTTGCTGGTAAACTGCCCTGCAGACAGGCTAAGTGGGCCTTTAAAATCATAAAACAGTTAATGTAGTACCTCCCACTGCTTATATCACTCTCAGGTCAAACCTACATCCTCACTTCTAGAAGTTTCTAAACGCCTATCATATCCATCAAGAATGCCTTGGTTTGCCCTTTTCAAATTCTAGAAACAAGACACAGTGACATTATGGAGGAAAATGTCTCATTTTCATCTTTGAATCTATCTTTTGCTTTTCCAGAAAAGCGTGAGTTGGTTATGGAGGCTGATTGGGAGCTGGGTGGTGGCTAGCTCTCTGCCTCCACCCTGGACTGCAGGGGCTCCAAGAATTCAGGCCCAAGTCACTCCTCTGAGTCTGTAGCAAGGCAGGAACACACCTACCCGCCTGTTTCCTAAGAGCACCAGAACTACACAATAAGCAGTGAGTCCCTCATGGCGCTGTTTACAAGTGAAGCCATCACAGGTACTTCAATCAGTTTTGTCTGTTGTTCTTTATTGATATGCTTCAGTGCCTGCTCTGTCCTGCTTTCAAGAACTCTCCAAGTCCTCTTCTTCCTTGGGTCTAAACTGAGGTCAGTCACCCTGGGCTTCTGGAGAAATCCCTTTTCCCACTAGCTCCTACCTTGGCAGAGCTTGTAACCCAGTAGGGGGAGATCTTAGGCTCCAGAGGTAGGCTGCCTGGGTTTGAATCCCAAATGGATCGCTTTCTACTCTGTGACTGTGGCCAATTCACTTAATCCCTCTGCGCCTCATTTTCCTTATCTGCAAAATGGGGATAATAATATCATCTATCTCACAGGGTTGTTGAGGTAAATGAGTTCGCTTATACAAACTGCTAAGCATAGTGCCTGGCAAATTGTTTTTATGATTGACTGTGGGTTCCTCGTAAAACCTAACTCAGTCCTTGGTACCCAATAAATCCTTATTAAATACATACATCTAAACTATTTTCCTTTTTCCCTAATGATCTTCTTTGATTAGTCTCTTCCCCAATTTTCTATATTCTTCTCACCAAAGAGGACTCTTTAGAGAGATCTCCAAGTCTTTGTCCAAGTCTCAATGGGACACACCATTTGCTGGCCTCAATCCATATAAGCAGGGAACCTAAATGACAGAACAAACGCAGCATACACATTCTGGTCATTATTAGGGGCAAGAATGATCTACCTCTTCTCTTGGGAAATTAGACTGATGCTCCATTTTCCAGTTTCTCCCCAGAGGCCTCTTTGTTTTTGACACCCTCCAGGGAGCAGCAGAAGTTGTGGTACTGGGTGTTCAAATGATCTCCGAGGGTGGAGGAGACGCTGTAAAGTCACTAGTGACAATGGTTTCAGGGCTGCTTCTGTAGCCTCCAGAGTAAAAGATGTTTTTTCCTTGCCTTACCAGGCTGCTAAGGTTTCTGTTGAGACTCCTCATCCCTGCCCGCTCCGCCACAGGGAGATGGTAAAACTGGGACCCTGGGGCCCAGCACCAAAGTTAATGTAGAGTCCCTGCTCCAGGCAGGTAAGTGAGGTCATGAAGTGGTAAAAGAGGCTGGCCTTTTATCTGGGATCGAATGCAATGAACCAATGAAAGGGCTTAACCAGAGCAAGAAGCCTAGGTTTGCTTCATCTTTATCCTTATTTGCTAGTAAAGGAGCCAATTAGTGTTAATTGTGTTGGCAATGTGGAACAGCCACCAGAGAATTGATCTAAGACAGTTGTAGAATGACCCCTCTGTCCCAACTCATAGTCAGATGGAGAGTCAGAGCACTTAATATCTTTTGGTCAGAGAGAGTAAACATGCATTCTCCTTGTCACACGTTTACAGCGTCCTGGGTGTCAGTTTTTAATACTGTACATGCAGTGACCTGACAACACAGTTCTGCCAGTGACAGACACAGATGTGGATGGATCAGGACTGAACTGAAGGAATACATTTTAACGTTGGAGCATTCACATTCTTCCCTCCTCCCCTCAGCCTGCCAAAGACCACCTTGTTATTGAAAGCCCAGTTGCCTACCCCTCCCCATCCCACCTAAAGCAGTAAAGTCAATCTACTTAATAAAGGGAGGGAGGAAAAAGAGGAGGGGGAAATCAGGGAGCTAGTGAGGGGCTCTGGAGGGTGTGGAATATCAGATAACAGAGCAGGGAAGAAAAAGAGATATGAGATTAATTGTTGAAGTTATGAATTTGGTCACCTTTAATATCCTTGGAGAGTCACTAGTAAAGATGGAATTTTTATTTCATGATTTACTTATTTCTTTTGCCTAACAAGCGGTTTGTCTTTAACCATGACGTGGCTCACTGGACAGTGTGCACCACTGCTTCATCAGGGTTATACAAGTGACAGAAATAGGACGCAGGCACTTTGACAGTCATTGAGCTCTAGAATTGTTCAGAGATGGGGTGGGAGGAAGGAAAATGACGTACCTTCCCTGGCCCTCACCCACCCAATGACTGGAATGCGTGTTTGGGCTGGTTTCTGCGTCCTTGAACACGCAAATCTTAGTTTCTCCATCCCCCTATATTCGGTGACAATTAGATTGGTTGTACTGGGTGAGTTGGGTTTTGTAAGAAGAAGGAATTTTACTGAAGAATTCCCCTGCCTCGCTACCAACTTGGTTACAGTTTCTTCAACACTGCAGCTATTCCTGCCTTTGTGGCCTCAAGGGCTAAAGTGGGACAAGGCTGGTATTTTTGGTGATGAGAAAATATTTGGTTTTAAGGGAGGCTGGGTGACTGCTGAACTGGGACAGAGGTCACAGTAGGGGTCACCGTAGCGATTCCTGGGGCGACTGGGGGCTGGCTTCGGGTCAGGCATCGGGTACCCCCGAGTCGGGAACGCTGCAGCGGCTTGGGACTGGCTGGCACGCTGGCGGTGCCCACTGTCTCCTCCCCAGAGGGGGGCACCCGGGAGCCGGCGCCTGAGGAACAGGGCCCACGCGGGAAGGTCGAGCTCGCCGGTGAGGTCACGGTTGCCATGGCTCTGGGCAGTGACGCGCGTCGGCACGTGACGAGCGGTTGCCATGGCGCCGGGCCCCGGCGGCGCGGGCGCCCCGCCTCCCGGAGTGAC